TCATGGATGAAGGTGAAAGACATAAAAAAACCCAAAAATCCTTACAACTGGACACATAAGCAACATCCTTATAAACACAGAAAAGATTTCAATCTTTTCCAGGATTTAATTTTATTTAGATCCACAATAAATACCCAGGGAAACAGCAGTCAAGAAACCAGAGGATATATTACAATGAGCAAATCTGCTGCAAAGGACCTCTTTTAAGTGTTAAAGAACAAAGATATCACCTTCAAGAGTAAGGTGCACTTGACCCAAGCCATGCTATTTTCAATAGCTTCATATGCATATGAAAGCTGGCCAATGAATAAGGAAGACCAAAAAAGGATTTATGGCTTGGAATTATGCTGTTGGCAAAGAATAATGAATATACCACGGATATTGAATGTACAAAAAAAAAAAAAAAAAAAAGAACAAATCCATCTTGGAAGAAGGCTGCTCTGAATGCTCCTTAAAAGCAAGGACAGTGATACTTCATCTCAGGTAGTTTGGACATGTTATTAGAGGAAACTAGTCCCCAGGAAGGACATTATGTTGGTAAAGTGGAGGGTCAGTGAAAGAGAGGAAGATCCTCGATGAGATGGATTGACAAAGTGTGTAACAATGGGCTCAAACACATCAATGACTGTGAGGATGGCACAGGAATGGGCAGTGTTCTATTCTGTTGTGTGTGGGGTCTCCATGGGTCAGAAGCAACTCGATAGCATCTAACAATGACAACAACAATGAGAAGGTGAAAACTGAAGATCACACGGGCTAGCAGGAGGAGCACTGATGATCAGGATTATTAAATGTTCCATAACTATTAGATACTCTAATGGAAATCTCAAATGGACAACTTAGGTGTCCAATTTAGGTAGTGAGAAACTATATCCAATTTAGGTTGTGAGAAACTATCAGGTCTTTGTCAAATTATATCAGAAATATGTCTCAACCTGCTGTCTCTCTTTTTTTCATCTTAAATTCACTGTAATACAGTCTCTCCCATCATTTTGCTGAAATTTTTCTGTCAAAGGGCACCAAAATCTTCTTAATTAAGAAAAGCAATGGATTCCTTTAATACTTGTTGCATTAGTCTTTCTCTGGCATTTAAATATCTGACATTGTTGATTACTCCTGCTTCAGAAAAGGTTCTCTTTTCTTGGCTTCCATTAAGATACTCTCTCTGGTTCTTCTCCTACATATCTCACAGTTTTTTCCTCAGTGTCCCTATGGGTTCCTCTCTCTTAGTTGATAAAATGAGAGGTTTACACTCTGTATACTCCTCTTCTCATTCCTTGCATTTGCTCAAGATATCTTATTCACTCTGAAAGCTAATTACAACTGATTTCTTCAAGACAAGAACTTTAAACTCTAGCATAGCTCCTTTTTTAGAACAATCAAATATACATATATTTGTGTATATTCATTATAAATATTTATTATATATTAAATAAAAAATCTTTGTTCATAATATTCTAGTTACGGTATTCTTAACCCCATAAACCAGGTATTGGGAACCTCATTTGGCAAGGGCAGACATTGAAGTTCACATAGTTGAATAACATGTGGAAGGTCACTGGGCTAGTATGGCAAAACTGCCTACTATAGCAACTAGCACTACAACTAGCACTTCAATTTTTATAGTTTCAAAGTTAAATTGAATCTCTTTTCCTGAATTTCAGCAAGACATTGTTGTTGTATTACCACTCTCAGCTGTCCAAACTAGAGTATTTAAATTAATCCTTAAGTCTGCATTCTCCTTGAACACCTGAATAAAATTTATCCATAAAACATATTAATCCAATTAATTGTGAAATCCTATTAACTTCTCCTCTAAACCATCTTCATGTTTATCACTTTATCTCCATTACTATTATTATGGCTCTCGACAGCATCTCCCATGCAGACTGGAGCAGTGGTCTCTAATTGTTGCTACTTACTCCTATTCTTGTCCAACTTCATATTATTATCAGAAAATCTTTCCAAAACATGTTTCATCACACATAATCTGCTTTTTCAAGTTGTCAGAGGATTCCCTGAAATTATTGCCCTGAGATAATTATCTTTAAACCTTAAACCAAAAATACCTTCTGAAGTCTTCTGTAAACCAAATAAAAGTTTAGATTAATTAGTAAAGAATGTCTGTTTGAGCATTGTGCTCTTTTAAGAACTATCTCTATGGGATTAAATTGATAATAGTAACTTGTAAAATTAGACAGGTAACTTTAGAGGGTAGTGAGTTTATATCAATAAATTATTAATGAACAGTTTGGAAAAGGAGAGTGAGAATCATTGTACTACTTGAAGAATGTAACTGATGTCCTTGAATTGTACACACAGAAACAGTTACATTGTTGTATGTTCTGCTGTGTATATTCCCAAGAACAACAAAAATAAAAATAAATTTTTAAAACATTTCCAGAGGATAGTCACTGTCTGTGTTATACGTACTGATTTCTCACCACAATATAAAAGACCTGTAAACTGGACTTGTCTTACCTTTTATCTACAGCAATCTTCAGGTACATCCTGGAAGGCATCTTTTGTTAGGTCACAGTGAATTACTTAACCTTCAGAAATTTCACTTTCACATATTTTTGCTATGTCTCTTTGTCTAGAATGCCCTTTTTAGTTAATTTATCTCAAGAACTCCTGTTCAATAGTTAGAACCAACTTTAATGTCACCTCTTCTTTTAGCCTTCCCTAATCCACCTCATCTAATTTAACTGTTCTTTAATTTTTGTTCCTAGAGCATTTAATACATGCCGCTACCACAATTTAGCATAATTTCATGTCCCATTCACAGACTGAGCTGTGACTTCATTGATTACTGAACTGTTCATACTTTGGCATTTTTTGTTCTGTATAAGTCAAGTTTTATTGAGTAGTATACTTATCATGATCAAAGAAAATCTTTTCAAATTAAGAATGTTACCCAAGTGACCTGAGAAGATTATAGAATTTTCAAATACGGCTATCTTTCTTTTAAAGAATAATTTATTAGACTCCTCTAAATACTCAAAAATTTGAATTCAGTTATGATGAAGTAAATGCTATGTACTAATGGAAAATAATCAAAGTGGATGACAGAGGAGACTCTGAACCTTGCCCTTGAGCAGAGAATCACTAAAGCAAATGGAAGAAATGAAAAGGTAAAAGAGCTGAACAGAAGATTTCAAAGAGCAGCTCGAGTAGACAAAGCCAATTACTATAATGAAATGTGCGAAGACCTGGAGTCTGAAAACCAAAAAGGAAGAACACGCTCAGCATTTCTCAAACTGAAAGAACTGAAGAAAAAATTTAAGCCTCGAGTTGCAATATTGAGAGATTCTATGGGCAAAATATTGAATGATGCAGGAAACATCAAGAGAAGATGGCAGGAATACACAGAGTCACTGTACCAAAAATAACTGATTGATCTTCATCCATTTCAAGAAGTGGCATATGATCTAGAACCAATGGTAATGAAGGAAGAAGTCAAAGCTGCAATGAAAGAACTGGCGAAGAACAAGGCTCCGGGAATTGATGGCATACCGATTGAGATATTTCAACAAACAGGTACCCCATTGGAGGTACTCAGTCAGTTATGCCAAGAGATTTGGAGGACAGCTACCTGGCCAACTGACTGGAAGAGATCCATATTTGTGCACATTCCAAAGAAACGTGATTCCACAGAATGTAGAAATTATAGAACAGTATCATTAATATCACATGCAAGTAAGATCTTACTGAAGATAATTCAGAAACGTTTGCAGCAGTATATTGATAGAGAACTTCCAGAGGTTCAAGCCAGATTCAGAAGAGGACATGGAACAAGGGATATCATAGCTGTTGTGAGATGGATCTTGGCTCAAGGAAGGGAATACCAGAAAGATGTTTACTTGTGTTTTATTGACTATGCAAAGGCATTTGATTGTGTGGATCATGACAAATTATGGATAACATTGAGAAGAATGGGAATTCCCGAGCACTTGATTGTATTCATGAGGAATCTGTACCTTGACAAGGAGGCTGTCGTTCGAACAGAACAAGGGGACACTACATGGTTTAAAATCAAGAAGGGAGTGCGTCAGGGTTGTATTCTTTCTCCACACTTATTCAATCTATATGCTGAGCAAATAATCCGAGAAGCTGGACTATATGAAGAAAAACGTGGTATCAGGATTGGAGGAAGAATCATTAACAACCTGAGATATGCAGACGATACAACTTTGCTTGCTGAAAGTGAGGATGACTTAAGGCACCTACTGATGAAGGTTAAAGAATACAGTCTGCAGTATGGATTACATCTCAACATAAAGAAAACAAAAATCCTCACAACTGGACCAATGAGCAGCATCACAATAAATGGAGAGAAGATTGAGGTTGTCAAAGAATTCACATTGCTTGGTTCTACAATTGATGCCAACGGAAGCAGCAGTCAGGACATTAGACGACGTGTAGCATTGGGAAAGTCAACTGCGAAGGAACTGTTTCAAGTGCCGAGGAGCAAGGATATCTCATTGAGGACTAAGGTGTGCCTGACACAAGCCATGACATTTTCAGTTGCCTTGTATGCATGTGAGAGCTGGACAATGAATAAGGAAGACCGAAGAAGAGTTGATGCTTTTGAGTTGTGGTGCTGACGAAGAATACTGAAAGTACCGTGGACTGCTAAAAGAACTAACAGATCTGTCCTGGAGGAAGTGCAGCCAGAATACTCCTTGGAAGCAAGGATGGCCAGACTTCGTCTCACCTATTTTGGTCATGTTGTAAGAAGGGACCATTCCCTGGAGAAGGATGTCATGCTTGGTAGGGTGGAGGGTCGAGGAAAGAGGGGGAGGCCTTCAATGAGATGGATTGATACGGTGGCTGCGATGATGGGCTCAAGTATAGCAGGGATTGTGGGGCTGGCGCGGGATCGGGCAGTGTTTCGTTCTGCTGTGCGTGGGGTCGCTATGAGTCGGAAACGACTCGACGGCACTTAACAACAACAACAACAACAATGGAAAATAAAATAAAATATCAGTCTTTCTTACCTTTATTCTTCCCAGCTCAAACTGGAAAACATTAGGACTTGTAGCTTGTGCAAAAACAGCAGGAAATAGTTTTGTACTTGGCTCCACCTTTTTAAACAAATGGATTTTATATTAGAAAGGTCAGGAGGACAAAGAAAGTATATGTGCTTTGCATCAACTAAGAAATCATATAGAAATCCTCTGATAAATTCAATAATTATTTCACTACTGTAAGAACATTTTTGAAAGGATGCACTATCTGTTAACTCTAAAGGGCTTAAGACACTGCTATTATTCAAACGGACATTAAAAATACATAATTAAGAAATTTATTATTTCACTTCCTTCTAATTTTTAGTTTACTTTTTGGTCTTACAAAATATGTTTCCCTTTAACAAGACATTTTTTTTTTTTTCTCCCTAGAAGCATGATGGCATCAATGAACACAAACCTGATAATATGTGCTCAATTCCTTGCCATTAGCAGTGAATGTGAGCAACCCACTGGCCACATCCACAACACAGCCAATCTCCAATCCATTATTGTTGCGTCCTTGTCCAGGGCTCATACTCTCACCTGCACATACCATGTAGCAGTTGCTCCGTTTGATGCTGAATTGAAAAAAGAAAAATTATGACCTTAAATATACTAGAAGGCATGTATATTTTGCAAACTAAGCCTAAGTTATGCTTTGCAAGCAACAAGCTCATGCTGTAATGGGACAGGTGCACAATGGGCCCAATTCTGTGACTTTGAGCAAAACTCCATTGACATCAGTGGAAATTCTGAATCAGGTCTTACACATCTCTAAATTTCACACCTAATGGAGACAGGTCAACAGGTTTGAACCAACTAAGAACTGACCTGCACATTCCCTCAAAAAAAACTCAAACCAAACTGGACCTTTTTCTGAGGTTCAAAAGAGTTTATTAAATAATCATCAAAATTTGATATTTTCATTCTCAAATTTTTTATACTTGCTGAGATGTGAAACATTAGTTTCCAAACACTTATCAAAATACTTAGACAAATTCTACATCAGCCATTCAATATATTAAGAATTAGACTAAAATTAATGCCCCTTTATAGAAGTGCCCAGTGATCTGTTATGAGAGACCAAACCTGTTGCTGTTAAGTAAATCCTGATTCATAGCAACCTCATTTGTTACAGAGTAGAACTGATTTATATGGTTTTCTTGGCTGTGATCTTTACAGAAGCAGGTTGTCAGGGCTTTTTACTGTGGTGTCACTGGTGGGTTCGAACCACAAACCTTTAGGTTATTAGTCGAGTGCAATGTATTTGCACCATCAAAATCAATGATATTAAAAACAAAACTGTACCTGATTTCACCCTCACCAAAACTTACACCAGAGATAGTAACAAAGTTAAGTGATTTCAGTTTCGCTTACATTCCCTTTTTCTGCCACCATACAGTGAACATACTAATGAGAGTAGCAAAAAAAGAAATGAAAAAAGCCAAACACAGGCAGTAGGAATTAAAGTACAAGAGTTTGGGATAAGGTTGATTACTGAATAGTAAAAAGTCAGTTGTGTTTCTCTGCATGACTTATGTAAGATTCAACAATCCCTTATCTTTTACTTCCTACACCAAAATCATTTATCAGTTACCCTACCCTCTACTGAGTCATTTTCTTATATTTCTTATATATGAAATGCATCCTCCAAGAAATTTCCTACAGACTGGTTGTTCTTTGTCCCCACTCTAAAATAAAGCATTGGTCACTCCGTATTTTTCTAGGGCCATGGTTTCAAGCTCTAGTGTCATGATGTTTCAAGTATTACAACCTGAAGACAGGAGAGTGTTCTCATCACTAAACAGTGATGTACAATTATAGAGGAAAAACAACATCATGGCAGTCTCTTTCTTTAAGACCTATCACAGCAGATCAGGGAGATGTGTGGGCACAAAAAATGATGTGAATTCTAAGATCTCTTCTCTCATTCTGCAAGGAAGATAGCCTTCTTCACTTTTTTGAAGGTTTGGTTTGAGTTTGACTTGTTTTACAAATGAAAAAAGATGGCACAGAAAGTTTAACTGACTTACCCAAAGCCACACAGCGAGTCAATGGCAAAGCTGAGGAAAGAACCCACTGCTCCTCAGTCTGAGTACAAATGCACCCACCTGGTCTAAACTACTACCGCATTGTCTTCTTCACTTTTCACCCACCCACATCACCAGTTCCCAAGATATTTATCAGACAACACAGTAAATGTCTCTCATTGCCCATCTCTAACTCATACAACAAAGGCTAACTATTGCCAACTCAAGTTGTTAGTTATGTACAATAATTTTACTCAAAAAGGATGCACTGCTCTTACTTCATAATGGTTTTCACTTCTAATATATTCAGACTCTACTGGTTTATATGAATAACAGAAAGGACATTGACATTAATGGTTGGATTTTATTTATCCTATAAGTAGAAATACTAGGGAGCTCTGGTAGTGTAATGCCTAAGGCACTTGACTGCTAACCAGAAGGCTGGAGGTTCAAACCCCCCAGCCACTCCTCGGAAGGAAGATGGGGGACTCTACTTCCACAGTGATATGACCTCGGAAACCCAAGGAGGGGTTGCTATGAGTCGGGTCCGACTTGACAGCACGTAACAACAACAACAACAACATAAGTAGAAATATTATCCTGGGTAAGAAATCCAAGAGAAAAAATGATCTACATTCACCAACATTTTTATCAGATTTCAATCATATAAAAATTTAAGGAAAACCAACCTTTCATGCACTTTTCCTTTCTCATCTCCTAGAGTAACAGTTACTGTACGAACTCTGTCCAAGTCAAAACCTGTATCATACTGATGGAAATCGGATGTAATCCAGCCCACCCAGACATTAGCAGGTTCTTGTCCAGGAAAGATTCTCACAGAGTAATAGTACTATCAAAAGAGCAAGACAAAAGTGTTGGTAAGGAAAAGAATAAACAAACTTTGATTTTTAATGTTAACTGTTGTCAGAGTCTTTGAATTACTTAAGAATGTAATTGTTTTAAATCATTTGGCCTAATTAAAATGCTGTAGGCACAAAAAAACTGACACTTCAAAATGAGAAAAGATTTATATGACTTAAATCAGAAATAGTGGGAAAGAAAGACAGACATCTATCTGAGGAAAGATGCTAAATGATTTGAGGCTTTTTGTATTCTCAAGTACATATGCATTACGTATGTTTGTGAATGTGTGTATGTGTATATACATACATATATATATATATATTTATGTATGTGTGACTGTGTTCATGTATCTACACATCACACATTCACACACACACACACATATATATATATATATATACACACACACACATTTAATATATAATGAAGTGGGATAACGTTAGGTAGGTAAGCCTCAAATTCTTCAATCTTGGATAAGAATCCTAATCTATGCTAAAAGTTTCCATACCTGCCACCTACCTCTTTGAATGTGGTCTGTTTTTCCTATCTATGAAATTTAATAATTTGATACTTTAAAGGATTTTGAAATAGTTTAGTTATAAATCAAAAAACCAAAGGGAGCTCTGGTGGTGTAGTGCCTAAGGCATTTGACTGCTAACCAGAAAGTTGTTGGTTCAAACCCACCAGCCACTCCTCAGAAGAACGACTGGGCAACATAGTTTGATACTTTAAAGCATTTTGAAATAGTTCAGTTATAATATGTAAAAATCAAATTCAGACATGGCATCATTCTACAAGGGACATAGATTATTTTTTTACCATTTGACATTTTAGAAGTAGTTTAAAAAAAAAAAAACAACCTTTAATGGAAGACAGCAAAAGTTGATTTTTGGTAAAGTATAATAAGTTATATCCTTTTAGATATATCACTAATATGAAGGAAATTGTGTATACTTGGAAAAGTCAAATAGACAATTTAAATTTTCCCAGAAACAAGTTAGCAAATTCAAGATTACAGGTGCCATTAAGGATGTTTCCTAAAGTAGCTCTCTTACTGATATCTATCTATGTATGAATATGGGAAGTCTGGTGGCGTAGTGCCTAACGTATTTGACTGCTAACCAGAAGACTGGCGGTTCAAACCCACCAGCCACTCCTCAGAAGGAAGTTTGGGCAATCTACTTCCACAGTGATGCTGCCTCGGAAACCTAAGGAGGGGTTGCTATGAGTCAGATCTGACTTGATGGCAGTGAGGTTTTTTTTTTTTTTTTTGGGTTTTGGATCTATGAATATATAGTATGTGTTTGTAAACATATATATTTAACATTTCAGCCCTAAAATATGTAAAAACATAAGCTAATAATTATTTAAAAATAAACTGGTAAGTATAATGAAATCAAAGGGAGTTATTCAAAATGTAAAGCATAATAACTGAAAATCAAAAATAAATTATAAATGCTGTAACCTCATACCGTGGATGTTTGCATCAAGTAATCATAGTCATCTCGATCATCTGCAAGAACATCTTCAGTAAGTCTTGCAGAATGGCTTGTGCTATAATCTGGCTTTGTTCTTCTAAGCAAAAATCTGAAATTTTTAGAGGACTACGAATAAGTAATATTAAAATGTTCTGACTACTTAAACATGAGCATATAATCAATTCTGTAAAGTAACTTTCATCTGAGGATATTTGGCAATGTCGGAAGACATTCTTGGTTGTCACTGTTGGAGGATGCCCTTGGCATCTAGAGACTAGAAGTTAGAGATGATAATAAATATTCTACAATGCACAGGACAGCCCCTACAATAGAAAATTATCTGGTCCAAAAGTGTTAATAGTGCTGAGGTTGAGAAATCCTGGTTTAGTGAAACAAAATATTCTAAAGTAACCTATCTTCTTTATATCATTTACAGAGAATACTTGATAAGTTTCAACCAAGAAAGTAAATATAGATATATTTTAAAGTAAGAATTGGGTGCTAACAAATTAGATGACCAAGTGATTGCACACTTTTTTTTTTTTTTTGCTATAGAATACTTTGTACACAAATATACACACAAATAAAAATGAGCAGAAGAGGAGGAACAAATTAACATTGGGCTGTCCCTGACTTTCTACTGCAACCCTCCCGACATAATAACTACATATTTAAAATCACACTGCATTACAATTAATGACCTTTGTTTCAGACGAGAGGGCTTTTCTTGAGCATAATCTTTGTGATTATTGAACTCTGATTTTGTGGCTTCTTTCTCTTTGTCAACACGGTCGGGCACCAGATGGCCATGAGCTGTCTTCATTAGAACCTCAAAATCAGAATCTGCATCATAATCCTCCAGGTCATTCTTGGGTCCAAAGAGGCTGGCCCCTGGGAGACCTCCTGTAGCAGTTTTGGAGAAGACCTCTGCACATTCAATTGGCATGCTCAGACGATAAAACATGATGTCAGTGCTGCTGTTCTGTGATCCAAAGGACTTCTGGGTCACCTTTAAACATGGGGAACTATCTATGGTGCCATCTATCCTGGTCACCTATCAAATGAAGAAGCAATAGTTCAAATTACAATTACCATTTCAATTTTCTGCTTCTAAAGATGATTAGTGCATATCATGCTTTCAGGATCCAAAACATGGACCACATAACATATCCTTTTGTAAAAGAGACAATCAAACATAGAGATCACTCTGTTACAAATATATCCAAAGTTCTGCTTCTAACTCAAAAAGATAGTTTGGGAAATGCATATTATAGTTATACATAGTTAGATAAGGCCTGACATTAAATATATAAAAGGGAATTAATTATTCATATTCATTTATAATCAAGTACTCATAAAGTACCTAGTACCAGAGGTTAATCATATACTTAAAGCCCATCTCTATGTAACACAACAGGGCCATCATTTTAAATAAGTTACAATAATTGTACAACTAGGAACTCCTGTATATAAAGATATCCCACTCCCATTTTTTTGGCAACAATCTGATTTTTAAAGAAAAAGCAAACCTCAATATGTTCATGGTTTGATGGAACTTGAAGAAATTGAGGAAGCCTCTTGCTTAGCCACATGGTAATATCCCTATTTGTATTTACTGCAAATGGTTCATAGCCCTCTTGTAAGCCACATATGGTGAAATATTTCAAGGTACTGACATCCTTTCCAAAGTTCATCCTGCCCACCTGAGCCACACCAAGGCTACATACAGGTATGAATCCTGGGAAGACAAAGAAAAACCAAAACTCTCAGTACTGTTAGTATAAAATTTGCTAGTATGGAATTACCAAAAGTATTGCTGCACAACTCTTACCTTTGTGAAACACATTGCCCTAAAGTAAAAAAAAATAGTGTATTAAAGATGGCACTGATTAAGAATTAAATGTAAGGATCAAAAGATCAGTAATTAATCTTGGCATTGCAATTTACTAGTTGTGGGCCCCAGATAAGTTACTTTCTAACCCTCAACTTCTGCAAAATGAGATACTGTTAAGCAGCCATTGTCCTCCAGATACTAGAAAGCCCAATCAAAGAAGGAAATCCTAACTTATAATCCCCCTTTTCAGTATATTATGTGACTGTCCTATGCAGGGAAAGTAAGAAAGAAGAGAGTAACTATCGCCTTGCTGTTCTATGCAACTCAAGAATTTGATAGGACAAAACAAAGCTCAAAACAGTATGAGCTATAGATTTCCTCTCACATAACTGAAGGGAAGAAGGAGTGGTAGATAAAATTTATAAAGGTGTAATCCATCAATAGCTAGCTATTTTTGATCTTTGAAGAAAACTTTCCCTTTCTCTGGAATACTCTAGATCTAAGCACAAAACCAAATTCACTACTGTTGAGTCGATTTTGACTCATAGCAAACCCTCCTTGGGTTTCTGAGGCGATATCTCTGTGGAAGCAGATTGCCCAATCTTCCTTCCGAGGGGTGGCTGGTATGTTTGAACCACCAGCCTTCTGGCTAGCAGTCAAATGCCTTAGGCACTATGCCACCAGAGCTCCTAGATCTAAGCACATATGTGTGTGTGCAAGTATGTGTGTGTGTGTGTATGCTTAGATTTAGTGTATTCCAGAAAAAGGCTTAATTTTCCTCAAAGATCAAAAGCTGCTATTTATCAATTGATAACAACTTTACCAATTATGTGTATGTGTGTGTATATACATACACACACATATTTATATACACACATATATATGCTTAGATACAGTGTGTGTGTGTGTGTGTGTGTGTATCTATCTATCTATATGACATAGAGTTTGAAAATTGGTACTTCGAGAAAGGAAAAGCAGAGTAAAACCTGCAAAAGCTAGACCCTGTATAAGGTGGAAATCTGTCAATGAAGGAAAATTAAAATATTTTTCACTAAAATGATTAATAGAAAAGTGGTAAGACTGCACCCTGTCACAGTCAGAAAACTTGAAAGACCCAGAGAAACAAGGCATTTTCGAATTTCAGCTCTCACAATTGTCACTATAGTTGCTAAAAACCAAACCAAACCAATCTCTCTGCTGCCCCTTGAAACTCCTCCATCTATCCCATTCCTTTTGATGCTACTACCATTGCAGAGCAATGCACATCTAACCTAAATAATTATGATATAAAGTCAAACAAGTCACTTAAAGTAAACAAGAAACAAATCAAAAGGTTATAGGCAATAGGATAAAAACACCCAATAATATAATTTCATCAACTAGTCTAATGCATGGCAAGGTTAGCAAACCTTTCTGCTATCGAATAAATTAGGAAATTATATTAACTCTGCTTATTGCTTCTTTGAGTTCTTTGAATGAATTGTCTTTGTCTGGAAGAAAAGATGATATAATTTTCAGGGGTGGGGAATTTTCTGTGTAATCCTAATTTCTTTCTATACCATATTACACAATGAAAATTGCAATTTGTTCTACCCCTATGATTTATACTTCTTCCATTGTTGAAATTAGTGGCCATTAAAGCAATGCATAATCCCCAAAACAGCATAAGATGGATAAGAAATTAAATCTAATTATTCATAAGGATTCCACCCAATTTGTATTCATCAACATACATTGAAAAAATAGTTGTCTATGGCACATAAAAACAACAACAACAACAACAACAACAATGCTACCAACAAGGAAACAAGAACATACCCAACTGTGTTCAAGAAAGTGTGCATGATGTGCCTCTAGTTAGAGCCAAAAATTATAGCTGTGCCTGTGGGTATGCCAGCTCCTGAAGCAGTAGTCAAAAAAAGTTGTTTTAAACAAATGTCTCCAAAGGAACAAAGAAAATGATGGATAAATATGATAGATCTGAGACAGCTTGAACTGTATTAGCACAAATTGACAAATCTAATATCCACTTGACATGAACTAAAGAATACCAAGATAGAAATGTATTCTTAGATAGCAAACATCTATTTCTATTCATTTTATTTGTGAAAGCAGTTCCTAACCTATAAATTAAGGAGCTCTGGTGGTGTAGTGCCTAAGGCATTTGACTGCTAACCAGAAGGCTAGAAGTTCAAACACACCAGCCAATCCTCGGAAGGAAGATTGGGCAATCTACACATGATAAATGAAGTTATTGTTTATGTGTAAAAGTCTGCACAATAGATACTGGGCTATTTGTTATACCTGTACTTTCTTATGTGTTTGAAATTCTTTCAGCTAAAACATAATGTAACTAGTGATGTGCACAAATATATGTCAGATAGATCCTGGCTAAAAGCAAAGAATATCAAAAAGATGTTTACCTGCGTTTTATTGACTATGCAAAAGCATGAGACTGTGTGGACCATAACAAATTATGGATAATGTTGCAAAAATGGGAATTCCAGAACACTTAATTGTGCTCTTTAGGAATCTGTACATAAACCAAAAGGCAGGTATTCAAACATAAAAAGGGGATATTGCGTGATTTAAAATCAGGAAAGTATGTGTCATGGTTGTGTACATTCACCATATTTATCCAATCTATATGCTGAATAAATAATCTGAGAAGCTTGACTATATGAATAAGAATTTGGTATCAGGATTAATGGAAGACTCATTAACAACCTGTGATATGCAGATGACACTATATTCCTTGCTGAAAATGAAGAGGACTTGATGCAGTTACTGATGAAGATCGAAGACTACAACCTTCAGAATGTATTATAACTCAACATAAAGAAAACAAAAATCCTCACAACTGGACCAGTAAGGAACATGATGATAAATGGAGAAAAGATTGAAGTCAGGGATTTCATTTTACTTGGATGTACAATCAATGCCCATGGAAACAGCAGTCAAGAAATCAGAGGATGTATTACATTGGACAAATCTGCTGCAAAAGATCTCTTTAAAGTGTTAAAGAGCAAAAATGTTACCTTGGAGACTAAGGTGCACCTAACCCAAGCCGTGGTATTTTCAATCGCCTCATATGTCTGTGAATGCTGGACAATGAATAAGGAAGACTGCAGAGGAATTGATGCATTTGAACTGTGGTGTTGGTGAAGAAAACCAAAAATACCACGGAATGCCAGAAGAACAAACAAATCTATCTTGGAAGAAGTGCAGACATAATGCTCCTTAGAAGTGAGAATGGCCAGACTTCACCTCACTTACTTTGGTCATGTGATCTGAGGGGACCAGTCCCTGGAGAAGGATATCATGCTGAAATGAGATATATCTATATTGCTCTTATATTTGTGAGAATAATGTGGACATAAAATGACCCAAATAGCTTATTCTTTTTATATATAACACTTAAAGTGGTGAGGATGCAATGATATCAATGCCAGAATTCTTGGAAATAAAATTAAACTAGTATAAGGTTTATGAAGTATAATTTGGCAAGATGTATTAAGAACTTTCAACCATTCCTTTATTTATTTGATAAATGATTATTAGAGGAGTTATCTCATGCCAGAAACTTGGAATACTAAGGTGAATAACTCAGATGCTCTCCAAAGTTTTCTCTCGATTTAATGAGCTAGAAAGACAAGTAAAGAAGTAATACCGAAATAACCTAGTGAGTCATCAAGGCAGATGGAACACCAGGATCAGAGGATGAGTAGAGAATAGAGACTTGGGAAACAGAGAAGATTTTGCAAAGGAGAGGCCATCTAAGAAGTTGGCAGACAGGCAGTATTATGAAGGGATTAAGAACAAAGTTAGGAGTTCAAAGACCTGGATTCAAGTCTCATCACCATCATGTCTCAATTATTTGATCTTTCACAAGTTTGTTAAATTTTCTAAGCTTTAATCCTTTCTTTTATAATATCTACCCCATAATGTGATGGTTTTAAAAATGAGATCCTGTAAGTGCTTAACAGGGACATCCTCTGAATTAAATTTAAAGTAGAAAAAAAGAGGTAAAGGAAATTAAATGATCATAATAGGAGAATGAATATGTGCAGCAAATAATAATCATTTTAAATTTATAACAAAAATTATAGAGAGATAAGACAAATATGTTGTTGTTATTAAACACACAGACCCACTTTCATCAAATCAATTTTGACTGATGGCGACCCTATAGGAAAGAGTAGAATTGTCCCCTAGGGTGTTTTCCAAGGCTGTAATCCTTTGAGTTGCATCCGACTCGATGGCAGTGAGTTTTTTTTTTTGTTTGTTTGTTTTTTTTAAATAATTTGGGAAGCAGATTGCCACACCTTTCTCTCACAGAGCAGAGTAGCTGGTGGGTTCAAACTACTGACCATTTAGTTAGCAGCAGAATGTTTTAACTGCTGTTCCACCACAACTCTTTGTTGTTATCAGATGCCATCAAGCTGATTTAGACTCATAACCACTCCACGTGACAAAGCAGAACTTCCCCTTAGGATTTTCTAGACTGTTATCTTTATGAGAGCAGATCACCAGGTTAGCAGCCAAGCACTTAACCACTGCACCACTTGTCTTCCTTAGCAAAATGCAAACAATTGGTGAAGAGTATAAAGTTGTTGTTCATTTACTATGTTCACACATTTTCTGAAGTGCTGATATTTCTCAAATAAAAGATGATTTAAAAAAATTATCTTTAAAATGTATTTAAGATTTAGGACAACATTTATAATTTAAGTAAAGAGACGGGGTAACAGACTATAACTATTCAATATCATGACAATTATTTAAATGGAAAAGAAACACATTAAACCTCAAGTTTCTTTCTGAGTGGTGGAAATATATATAATTTTTAACAATTTGCATCACACTGTCATGCATCTTCCAAAGTTTTTGACAAGTATATATTA